GCTTTATTGTTTTTTAATTAGGTTTTATAATTAAGAATATAACAATCCAAAACAAATAAACTGTTTTTACCAAAGGTAAAGTGTCAAATTTGAGAGATTAATGCACTTTGCTAAAGCAGAACCTAAGCCTGATGCACCTTCATCACCAATTTAATTAGACCTTTTTAAATATTGAAGAAAAAATATATCATTAAATAGTTAATTAGAAGGAAAAAATGAAGAAAAAATATGAAATAATAGGATTAATTAACAATAAAAGCAAAAGTTGAAAATAAAATAATGAGCTAAATTAACAAAGAAAGAAAGAACAAAAAAAAGCAAGCACAATAAAAATAAAAAAAAAAAGAGCTTTATTGTTTTTAATTATTTTTTATAATTAAGAATATCACAATCCAAAACAACTAAACTGTTTTTACCTAAGGTCAAGTGTCAAATTTGAAAGATTAATACACTTTACTAAACCAGAACCTAAGCCTGATGCACCTTCAACACCAATTTAATTTGACCTTTTTAAATATTGAAGAAAAAATATATCATTAAATAGTTAATTAGAAGGAAAAAATGAAGAAAAAATATGAAATAAAAAGATTAATTAACAACAAAAGCAAAAGTTGAAAATAAAATGATGAGCTAAATTAACAAAGAAAGAAAGAAAGAACAAAAAAAAGCAAGCACAATAAAAAGAAAAAGAAAAAAGAGCTTTATTGTTTTTAATTAGGTTTTATAATTAAGAATATCACAATCCAAAACAAATAAACTGTTTTTACGAAAGGTAAAGTGTCAAATTTGAGAGATTAATGCACTTTGCTAAAGCAGAACCTAAGCCTGATGCACCTTCATCACCAATTTAATTTGACCTTTTTAAATATTGAAGAAAAAATATATCATTAAATAGTTAATTAGAAGGAAAAAATGAAGAAAAAATATGAAATAATAGGATTAATTAACAATAAAAGCAAAAGTTGAAAATAAAATAATGAGCTAAATTAACAAAGAAAGAAAGAACAAAAAAAAGCAAGCACAATAAAAAGAAAAAGAAAAAAGAGCTTTATTGTTTTTAATTAGGTTTTATAATTAAAAATATCACAATTCAAAACAAATAAACTGTTTTTACCTAAGGTCAAGTGTCAAATTTGAGAGATTAATGCACTTTGCCAAACCAGAACCTAAGCCTGATGCACCTTCAACACCAATTTAATTTGACCTTTTTAAATATTGAAGAAAAAATATATCATTAAATAGTTAATTAGAAGGAAAAAATGAAGAAAGAATAAGAAATAATAAGATTAATTAACAATAAAAGCAAAAGTTGAAAATAAAATGATGAGCTAAATTAACAAAGAAAGAAAGAACAAAAAAAAGCAAGCACAATAAAAAGAAAAAGAAAAAAGAGCTTTATTGTTTTTAATTAGGTTTTATAATTAAAAATATCACAATCCAAAACAAATAAACTGTTTTTACGAAAGTTAAAGTGTCAAATTTGAGAGATTAATGCACTTTGCTAAAGCAGAACCTAAGCCTGATGCACCTTCGACACCAATTTTATTGTTACTTTTTAAATATTGAAGAAAAAATAAATCATTAAATAGAGTAAGTTGCCATACAAATTTTCAAAAAGTGAGTTTTATATACCAGTTTTACATTTTATAAAATTAAAATTTTCATAAATTTTTCAAAATTTATTTAAAAAACAAAATGATAAGTTATTAGAATATACGAAATGTATATATTATTTCAAATTTTACATTTTGTGAATTTAAAGTTTTCTAAAAACTCAAAAATAAAGCTATTTTAAGCTAATTTAATTTTATTATTATGTTATTAAGAAAAATTATATTTTGCCCTATATAAATTAAATAGACATTGCACTCTAGTTAATTATAAGGAAAAAATGAAGAAAAAATATGAAATAATAAAATTTATTAATAATTAATAAAATTAACAAATAATGAAAAAAAAAACAAATCAATAAATAATGATGATAATTTCTTTAATAAAAATTATTTATTTAAATAAATAGAAATTTAAATAAAAAAAAAATATTAATAATAATAAAAATAATATTTATAAATAAAATATACCTGAGATCAATATGGAGAATCTAATGAGATAAAAGTGAAGAGCTTATAAACTTTTTTTATTAATTTATATAAATTTAAAGGATATTAATAGAAAAATTAATAATTACTTTTTCTAATCTATTATATCTTTTAATCTATTACATCATTTATTTATTTTTTCAAAAATATTGTTTTGCAATTTATGAAATTTAATTAATTAATTAATTATAAATGGATAAAAAGAACAAATAAATATAATAATTAATTAATTATCAAATATTAATTTATATATTTGGTTTTGTGAAGAGATAGATATCACAGAAAAACTATTTAATATTCATTATTTAAACTGAATATTTGTATTTAAAACATATACTTAAAAATATATATAGTAGAAATTATAGATGGTCAGTTATTCATTTAGTAATATTTGAAAAAATTCTAGTAGTTAATTTATTTTTTACTTAATTTTTAACTTGTTTTTTTCTTCTTTTTTAAGTTTAATTTATTTTTCTTTTTTCTAACTTTAAAAATAAATTCTTGTATTAGATTTTAAATCTATTTTTTTAATAATAAAAAAAAATGTAATAAAAAATAAAAGGTAAAATGAAGATGATTTATTGCTAATAAATACAATATAAAAAAATGTAATTGAACTTTTGATATGCATTTTCATTGTTAAGATATTAAATATTTAATTGAACTTTTGATATGCATTTTCATTGTTAAGATATTAAATATGTATAAATTATGAAAAGTAAAATAAATTTTTATTTTATTTATATGAAAAAATGTATTCAATTATTTTATTATTTTGAAGAAAAAAAAAAACAAACAAACTAGGAATGAAAATAATATTTATCATAGATCATAAAAAAACATGTTAAATTAAAAAGCAAATTAAAATAAATATTTGTTTTATTTAAATGAAAAAATGTATTCAATTAATCTATTTAGTTGAAAGAAAACTAAATCAAAATAATATTATTAATCAATCATAAAAAAAAACTGTTAAATTAAATTGCAAAGTAAAATTAATTTTCATTTTTTAATATTAATTCTTTTCATTAACTTCAAATCGAATCAGATTAATATTCATTTTTTTTAAATTACAAATCAAATAAAATAAATTAATTCATCATAAAAAATAAAATTTATTTATTAATTAAAACAAATTTTTTCCTTAATTTATTTAACAATTTTAATTAATATGTCGTGTTTGTGTTCTTTCTATTCTTTCTATTCTTTCTGTTCTTTCTATTCTTTCTACAAGTTTTTAAGAACACAAAAATAACCCTTTTTAAAATTTATTTAAATAAATAATTTTTTAGAATAAATAGAAATATTCAAAATAAATTTTTAAAAAAATAATCTCAAAAAATCCCTTAAAATTTTTGAATAAAATATTTTGAAAAAATTCTTATAATAAAAAAATTATAAAAATTGGTATTTAAAAAAGTGGTTTTAGACCACACTTTTCTTAATATATATAATATCATTTTTATTTTTTCCATTTTTATAATTGTGGAATTTAATATAAATTTTATTCAATTTTATATTTGTAGAATTTCATTTCATTAATTTTGCATTTTCTAAAAATAATTTTATTACTTTTTAATTATAAATTTTCATAGCTTTTATCTTATTTTTATGATATCCTAGATAAATTATTAATTTTCCATTGCAATAAATTTGTATTTTATATAATTTTAATTTTTCAAAATATGTAATACCAATTTTTGGTTATTCATTACTGTCAATACTTTTTTAATTTGATTTATTGTAATAAAATAAACTATCAAATCTATTATTTAATTTATTGTTATCTTTATATTTTAGAAATTATTTAATTACTTAATTTTCTAAAAAGTATTATGCTACTATTTGATTGACTGATTGATTGATGTATGTCGTACTCTTTTATTTTTTGTTTTAGTTCAATCTGAAAATTATTTTAATGTAAAATTATATAATTTAAGGTTTTTTCAATTTATAAAATTGTTAAAATGTGAGTAATTACTTTATTTAAATAGATTTAATTCTTAAACTTTATTTTGTTTAATAAAATATATATTAACTTACCAAATTATGATATTTGTAAATGTAAAAATAATAAATAATAAATCTATCTATTTTTAGGTTTATATATCCTATTACAAAATATAAAAAAATAAAACATATTATATTAATCAAGTATTTTTGTATTTATTAGTACTTTTTTAACCACTTTTTTATTTTCACCATTCTATTTCTAAGAAAATTAATCTTTTTAATTTGAGATACTTACTTTTTACTTTGAATTGGTCTTATGATTTTTAGATTTAGTCTCTTGTTTAAATATAAATTAGTGTAAATGATTAAAAAAATAAATTGAATAAAATTAAAAAATAATATTTTAAATTTTATATCAATAAAAAAAAAATTTTTAGCAGAATTAAAATTATAAAGAAAAATAAATCAAATAGAAATCTAATAAATAAATAAAGTTTACTAAATTGTTTTAAATTCATTTTATATTAAAAAATTTCACAATCCAAAACAAATAAACCGTTTTTACCCAAGATAAAGAGTCAAATTTGAAAGATTAGCGCAAATTCCTAAACCATAAGCTAATTGTAATGCCCCTTCAATAGAAATATCGGTTTCCCTTTTTAAATATTGAATAAAATAAATAGTTAATTAGTTAGTTAAAAGAAAAAATTTAATAAATAATAT